AGGAGAATTGCCTGAATCCAGGAGGTGGAGGTTGCGGTGAGCCGAGATTGCGCCATTGCACTCCAGCCTGGGTAACGAGCGAAACTCTGTCTCAAAAAAAAAAAAGATGCTACTTATGATTTCCCTAGTAGTTTTGCCTTAATAACATAGAAGTACAGGCCTTTAATCACCCTGGTAGCCAAAGTCATGTCACAGGGTTAGCTGGTCCAGGAATTATACAAGCCTTATAGACATTCCCTTACTTGCCTGGGACTCATGCCCTATGGATTCCCCATAGGATTCCAGATTTATTTTATTTTATTTATTTTTATATATTTTTTGAGTCGAAGTCTCACTCTGTTGCCCAGGCTGGATTGCAATGGCATTATCTTGGCTCACTGTAACCACCACCTCCCGGATTCAAGCAATTCTTCTGCCTCAGCCTCCTGAGTAGCTAATATTATAGGCGCCCACCATCACACTTGGCTAATTTTTGTATTTTTGGTAGAGATGGGGTTTTGCCATGTTGGCCAGGCTGGTCTTGAACTCCTGACCTCAGGTGATCTGCCTGCCTCAGGCTCCTAAAGTGCTGGGATTACAGGCCTGAGGCACAGAGCCCAGCCCCAGGTTTATTTTAATTACCTGATACTGGATCTGCTCTGGGAAGTAGTTCTTACTTAGGCAGTGAGCACTTGGATGTACTACTGAATTTTTGTGACTTTGAACATCGTACAGTATCTTGTAAACTTTCACCAGTGTGTTAGTTCTCTCGGGTTGCCTTAACAAAGTACTACGAACTAGGTGGCTTAGATAGCAACAGTTTATTCCCGCACCGTCTGGGAGGCTAAAAGTCTGAGATAAGTGTCAGGAGGGCCAGTTCCTTCTGGGGGCTGTGAAGATTATTCTATACCTCCCCACTGTCTTCTGGACTACCTGGAAATCTCTGCTTTCCTTGGCTGGCAGGAACGTCACAGTCTGTGCCTTCATCTTCACACAGGGTTCTCACTGTCTGTGTCTATGACCACATCTTCCCTTCTTATAAGAACACCAGTCGTATTGGATTAGGGTTCACTCTAATGACCCCATCTTAACTAATTATATCTGCAGTAACCCTACATCCACATAAGGTTACATTCTGAGGAACTGGGAGTCAGGACTCCAACATATGAAACTAAGGGGGACACAGTGCAACCCGTAACAACCACGTATCTCATTATACCTCCAGACTTCATTTCCACCACATTGTTTTTCACAATTATTTGCTGCTCTTCCCTGCTAGACAGTTACATTTCCTTGCCCCACTGATGTGAGGCTTAGCCATGAAATTGCTCTGCCCAATAAAATATGAAAAGAAGTGATGTGTGCACATCCAAACAGAACCTTTTAAGAGCTTTTTCCCTCTGACTTCAAACAGGCAGTGTTCCAGATGGAGGCTGTTTCATCAGCCTATGTCTCAGAATGACAGTGACACAGACCAGGGCAGCAGCTGAACCTTAGTGGATGCGCAGTATGAACAAGAAAACCTTTATGATTTTAGGTGACCAAGACTTTGGGGTCATTTATCACTGAAGTATAAATTAACTTTAGCTGACTGACACAGCTAACTGATACCATAACTTCACCCCTGTAAAGTGAGTGAGGTGTTTTTTTTTTTTAATTCATTCATCAGATAGTTATTGAAAACTTGCTATGTGCTAGCATAGAACTATATGTTGGATACTGTGATGGTGTCACTTTGGCTATGACATGGTACCCAGATATTTGCCAAACATCAGTCTAGATATTTCTGTGAAGGTATATTTTAGATGAGATTAACATTTAAATCAGTAGACTTTCAGTAAAACCAATAACCATCCATACTATGGGTCGGCTTCATTCAGTCGAAGACCTTAAGAGGAAAAGACTGAGGTCCTCAAGGAAGAGGGAGTTCTGACTCCAGCTGCAGCATCAGTTCTTCCCTGAGTCTCCAGCCTGCTCTGCAGATTTCAGATTTGCCGACCCCCACAAACACATAAGCCAGTTCCTTAAAATAAATCTTTCACCCATTCTATTGGTGCCATTTCTCTGGAGAACCCTGACTAACGTAGACAGACATCAGTGAACAAGCTATGCTTCAGTCTAAGGGAAGATACAGACAGTAGATTCTTGAATATGTTTCATTCCACATCATTTCATTATAATGTTGGTAAGGAAAAAAATTGATTTCAGGTCAGGACCACTGTCAATGTGGAGTTTGCACATTCTTCCCATATCTGCATGGGTGTTCTCTGGGCACTCCAGTTTCCTCCCACATCCCAAAGCAATGTACATGAGGTGAACTGGCGTGTCTAAATGGTCCCAGTCTGAGGTGAGTGTGGGTGGGTGCAAGTGCCCCCCTCAATGGGATGGCATCCTGTCCAGGGTTGGTTCTCAGGATAGGTTCCAGCCACTGCAATCCTGAACTGGGATAATTGGGCAAATAATTATCTTACTTTTTGTTAGTCTTTCTTAAATGTATATATAGCTCACATTTATTTCAATGTTTCATATTAGAAGTGTTTCAGTCTTTATTTAGAAGTGTAGTAATGTGTTTGTGACCAGAAATATGCAGAAGGAACTGAACTCTTACTTATCTCAGTTAGCCTATGGTAAAATTGGTCATGCTGTATATCATTTTGCTTAAGGCTACAGTTTCCAAGAACCTATCTGACACTTTTAAGTGATGATTTGCTGCACTGCATTTAATGGAAACACATAGGAGAAGCACCTGACCCTGACTAGTAGAACCAAAGAAGGCTTTCGGGAGGGAATGAAGTCGAATTTGAGAAGTGCACATGCCAGGTAGAGTAGGAATTAGCCAAGTCCAAGGATGGGGTGGTGGGGACTAGAGATTGAACTGAGTAGAGAACATACATTCTCAACAAAGACATGAGCTCCCCCAGGAGAAGAAAATGGGTGCTTGGCAGACAAGATAAATCTTAACTATATTACACTTTTGTCACCAACGAAGCTCAGTTCTATCTGACAAAATCATATTCCTCTTAATATTTGATTGAGGGGAAGGGAGATGACTAGGAAAAATGCCTAAGAAGCCTCTTTAGGTGGGCACTGATAAAAAAGACATTGAGAAACATTGGTATAGAAAGAGTGTTTGGGCAGAGGAAAGATCACACATAAAACTACTGAAATGAGAGAGAACATGGACTATTTGAAATATTAGAATAGGTGTGGCATAGAATTGGGAGAGAAGAGGGAACAGGAAGAACAATGAGAGAAGAGGCCAGTCTAGAATTTTAAAGAAAGTTAAACCTGAAAGTACATTCCAACCTCAATTATCTAATTAATTTTAAGAAAAGTTGGACTCTGTGTCTAAATTGTCTACAACACATCATACTCTTTTATGTACAAATCATCCTGTGTGTTTGTGGTCACTACTGAATGAATTAAGCCTTAGACATTGTTTTAGAGATAGAAAAGAGCATTTGTTAAGATACATGTTTCTACCTATTGTGCTGGAACTTGGTAGTTCTACAGTTGTCTCTCGAATAGCAACAGCATCATGTTGAGATGGGTTCTTATAATGCTATTATAAGCGTTTTAACCTCAGGAGAATTTTCATGTGATTTACTTCACTGATGTTTCAAAGATTAAAAATATTAGACTAAAAAGGGTATTTTTCTTAGTCCCATTATTTAGAATAGAATGAGAACAGTGGTCTATTTAATAACCATTATCATTATCTTCTTCCCAGATTGAATTAAAATTACATTAATATTCTATTAGAAAATTCTTTGCAAAAATGCTGTCAATCATTTTTTTTATTTCTACCAGCTTGTTAACAATGAACTCAAAGCTAATTCAATACTTTTGAGAGATAGTATAAAACTTAATTTTAGAATCTGAAGAACTAAAAAATTGTATGTTATGTGATAATTATTAACTCCTAGTTTTCTACCACAGCCTTAGCTTAGAAGTTCTTATTATGTAACAGACAATGTAAAATTATATAATAGTTCTGAGTATGGATTCTGGAGTCAGACCCTCTAGGTTCAGATCCTGAGTTGAACCTGTTTGGGTTTAAATGTTAATAGCTTTTATAAACTTGAGCAGTTGTGGAAAGTTGTGGGATCTTAACCTCTCTGTACTTCATAGTTCTAACTATGTAACAGAACTACTACATAGGGTTTTTGTAAATATATGTTAATAATGAGTTAATTATGTAAAGCACTTAGAACAGTACCTAGTACATACGCAGTACTCAATAATGTTAGTGATTATTATGGAACCCCTTACTGAGTAGCTTTAAAACCATTTGTTGAGTCTTTCCTGATGCCATACAAGGAACTTAATTGTGAAACTCTTAGTACATCTTACCTAAAATGATCTTCAGAGTGTGGCTTAAGATTTTTTTTAACTGACTTTTTTTTTGCATTATTATTTTTTTCTTTACTACTACAAGCCTTCAGACTGATTAGCTTTCTAGGCTAGGATGATACTTTTTGTCCTTAGGTGAGATGAACATCTAAAGTTCATTTTAAAAAGCACTTCTTACAGCCAAGCATGGTAGCTTACACCTGTAATCCCAATGAGAGACCAAGGTAGGAAGATCACATGAGGCCAAGAGTTTGAGACTAGCCCGGCAACACCACAAGACCCTGTCTCTATAAAAAATACTAACAAACAACAACAACAAAAAATAGCTGGGCACAGTGGGATATGCCTATATCCCAGCTACTCAGGAGACTGAGACAGGAGGATTGCTTAAGCCTGGGCAGTTGAGGCTGCAGTGACCCAGGATCGCACCACTGCATTCCAGCCTGGGCAAGGCAGCCAGATCTAAAAAAAAAAAAAGAGGCATTCTTTCAGTAGTAGGTAGGAGATGACTTTCTCTTCAGAATTTTGTGTTGGAGTCTAAGATTTATCTTTTAGGACTACTATTTACAGTGCAACAGTAGGGAAAAGGAAGAGTGACCCATGATTTAGTGGCACTTTAAAATTTTGACTAAAGCAATTAAATTCCTTTCAATATTTATATATTTCAGAAAATGTCATTGAAATTCACAAATGCGAAACGAATTGAAGGACTTGACAAAAATGTGTGGTGAGTATCTTAGAACAGACAATAATAATTTAGTGAGGTTTTCCTACATATTTTTATATCTTTAGATGAGAGGTTTTTTTGTCTCATCCACAGTCTATAAATAAATGTGCTTATTTAATTCATCCATTAAATGAAAATGGAAGGAAGTTAGCAATCCATACACTGAATGTTCATTTAGCACACATGGCGGACACGGGACATATGGCAGAGAAAAGGACAGATGTTGATGCCCTCATGGAACTTACCTTCCAGTCCAAGAACTTTCCTTATTAGTTCTGTTCTCTAATAGTTGATAAGAGAACTTAGCAGCAGCTGGAATTGTTGAGAAAAAATATATATATGGTTAAAACGTGGCTAGCAGGAAATTGAGTTTGTAAGGGTTCATAAATTCAGCTATCATTCTATTTGGTAAACTCATTTTTGTGGGTGGTAAATGTTTGTTGGAAACTCACTTTTTTTAAACCTATAGGACTAAACTAGGTCTTGTTTTTCAGTTTTGTCATAAGCCTATAAGATGTAAAAAGCAAACTTTATAATTGTAGTACTTATTAATATTAATTTTTTTTTCAATCTTAGGATTGAATTTACCAAATTGGCTGCAGACCCTTCTGTTGTGAATCTTGGCCAAGGCTTTCCAGATATATCCCCTCCTATATATGTAAAAGAAGAATTATCAAAGATTGCAGCAATTGATAGCCTGAATCAATATACACGAGGCTTTGTAAGTATATCAGGACCATATAGGGCATGAGCTGTTATTTTGGGGGGGGTGTGCTTTTTTTACATATATATGTAAGTGACTTTCTGGGACCAGCTGTCCCATCCTAACAACCACAGGAACTCCTGCCCTTGCCCTATGTCCTGAGATGAGCCTTCTCCTACTTCCAGCCCCTCTACACTTTTCTTTTGGCCCTAACTTTTCTTTTGCTCTAAGATGGGATCCTGTGGCAACAACAAGGTAAGGAACAATATTCTCTTGAGATGTGCCTTTTCTATCTCATCAACATTCATTCAGCCTTAGCACTGACCCCTTATTTAATATACTCTATATCCAACTAGTACCTTTTTCCTCCCTGTCCCAGCTCACTCCCATCCTTCTGTAATGAAATGCCTATGACAGCCAAAGATTTTCCAGATCAGATGTACCTTTGAACTGTAGACTTGTATCTGTTGTGTCAAAAGCCATGCGATTATCATATGCCTGACCACTTGTCTTTTCCTTTTATGATATTGTGGGAAATAGAGAGGGGAATGGTATAGGAGGAAGCCTGTTTTTTGTCTTTTATAGTGATCTAACTACAAAAATCCATAGAAGAGCTTGGCTTTGGGAATCCCACAGAGAAAAAGCAGTGAAACTTACCTGTGTCACAGGGTTTGACACTGGTGAGAATCCCTGCTCTTCTAGACTCTCACTCCCCAACCCACCCTACAGACCCCTATTTTATACCTACTCAACATAACCCACTCCCCGGCCTATACAAATCCATAATGAAAGGCTAGAAATAAACCAACAATAGAGAAAATTAATGACACCAAAAGCTGGTTCTTTGAAAAGATCAGTAAGTAAAAGTTTTAGCTAGATTGATCAAAAAAAAAAAAAAGAGAAAACTCAAAATACTGTATGAGAAATGAAAGGAGTATCATTACTGATCATACAGACATGAAAGCAATAATAAGATAATGTTATGAATAATTTTATGTCAGTTCATTGACAACTTGGATAAAATGAATAGATTATTTAAAAGATACAAATTACCAAAACTGACACAAGGAGAAATGAAAAACGCAGCTAGCCCTATGTCAGTGAAAGAAAATGAATTTGTAGTTAAAGTCTTCTTGTAAGCAAACCTCGATAAATTACTGGTGAAGTCTATCATGCATTTAAGGAAGAACTAGTCTATCATGCATTTAAGGAAGAACTATTAGGTTGGTGCAAAAGTAATTGCAGTTTTGCCACTACTTTTTTTTTTTTTTTTTTTTTTTTGCTAGAGTCTCTATGTGTTGCCCAGGCTGGAGTTCAGTGGCACAATCTCTGCTCACTGTAACCTCTGACTCCCTGGTTCAAGTGATTCTCCTGCCTCAGCCTCTCAAGTAGCTGGGACTATAGGCGCGCACCACCACACCTGGCTAATTTTTGTATTTTTAGTAGAGACAGGGTTTCACTATGTTGGCCAGACTAGTCTTGAACTCCTGACCTCATGATCCACCTGCCTTGGGCTCCCAAAGTGCTGGGATTACAGGCTTGAGCCACCACGCCTGGCCTGCCATTACTTTTAATGAAAAAAAAAAAACATTACTTTTGCACCAGACTAATAATACCAGTTCTGCACACACTCATCCGGAAAATGGAGCAAGATGAAAAACTTTTACTTATTGATCAACAATTTTTGTAACTTGAAATGTAAAGAAATGCCTAATGGTTTTGTCTGACCTTCTAATTGGGGGTTTTGTATCAGGGTAATGATGGTCTCATAAAATTAGTTTCACCAGACTGTGGACATTAGTCACCTCAGGGGGATGGGAATGAAATAATATTGAGAAACAATTCTAATTTTTTTACACATCTTTGCCTACTTTTACTTATTACATGAAGCATAAATTATTTTCATATTTAAAATTTTAATTTTAAAAGCACAACCATTCTAAGAAATGTGTATAGTGTTTATAGTTGCTTTTCAGATCTCCTTTTGCTAGAATTTGTTAGACCTGCTATTAAAGTAAAATTCAAAGGGACTCAGTTTATTGCTTCAGAGCCCAAGATGCTTTCAAACAAAGGCACATGACCTGCACTTGCACTCTTACTCTCAAGGGATACAAAATCAGAGTAGTACCTCAAAAGCAAAAGGGGACGTAGATGCTGGACAGAAAACAACAAGAAATATTGACTTAAATACCAAATAAAACAAGGAGGGGAAAAGGGAAAGAAAGAAAGAAAAGGAGGGAAGGGGAGAGAAGCTGGAAGAACTGAGGGAGAGGCAATCCAGGAGACCCCCTACTTGCCTCAGACTGTACCTTCGTAATCCCTTCACTTCTCTTATGAAAGTAGTACCTTGGATAACCACTGCCCTCTTGACCACCAGTGTGAGTAGTGTCTCACTTCCACCTAACCTTTGCTATCACATCAACACTGGTGTTCATGTCTTTGGTGAATTTGTTTTTGTTCTCTCTCTTTAGTCCATTGGTTGGCATAACCTTTCCAGCAATCGGGAAGAGCCAAAGAGAGGGTATACAGTTAGTATGGGGTTTTTAAACTTATTTTAACTGGGAAACAAATCCAACTCTTTTCAATACGATTTAACTGCTGTCAAAAAATACTAAGAGTTCATCTTTATTCAGAGCAAATACTTTGAAATTATATAGTCCCAAACCTTTTATTTAGTAAGAAGATTTAATCATTAGCAAGCCTCCATGACTATTAGTGTGGGAATCCTCTAAATGTAGGAAATTTTTAAAAATGTATTTCCATTTAAAAATGTAAATTTTCTTTGGGTAATTATAAACATCAAATCCAAATTTTAAAAATTATTATATTTTAGAGTCATATTACCTCAAACAATAGGTCCCATATTTAAATTCAAGGTTTTGTTCTTATTTTTAATCCAACAGGGCCATCCATCACTTGTGAAAGCTCTGTCCTACCTGTATGAAAAGCTTTATCAAAAGCAAATTGATTCAAATAAAGAAGTCCTTGTGACAGTAGGAGCATATGGATCTCTTTTTAATGCCATTCAAGCATTAATTGATGAGGGAGATGAAGTAAGTATATTAACATTATCATAATACCTATATTAATCAACTATCATTTGTCCCACATTTGAATCTTTTACTTATATTATGCTCTTTTCTTTTTTTATTTTTATTGCATTTTAGGTTTTGGGGTACATGTGCAGAGCATGCAATACAGTTGCATAGGTACACACATGGCAGTGTGTTTTGTTTGCTTTCTCCCCTTCACCCACCTTTGGCATTTCTCCCCAGGCTATCCCTCCCCACCTCCCCCTTCCACTGGCCCTCCCCTTTTCCCCCCAATAGACCCCAGTGTTTAGTACTCCCCTCTCTGTGTCCATGTGTTCTCATTTTTCATCACCCGCCTATGAGTGAGAATATGCAGTGTTTCATTTTCTGTTCTTGTGTCAGTTTGCTGAGAATGATGTTCTCCAGATTCATCCATGTCCCTACAAACGACACGAACTCATCATTTCTGATTGCTGCATAATATTCCATGGTGTATATGTGCCACATTTTCCCAATCCAGTCTATCATCAATGGGCATTTGGGTTGATTCCAGTTCTTTGCTATTGTAATCAGAGGCAACACAACATAGCTACAACCATACAATCTTTGATAAACCCGATAAAAACAAGCAATGGGGAAAGGATTCCCTGTCCAACAAATGGTGCAGAAAGCAGAAACTGGACCCCTTCCTGACACCTTACACCAAAATTAACTCCAGATGGATTAAAGACTTAAACATAAGACCCGGCACCATAAAAACCCTAGAAGGAAATCTAGGCAAAACCATCCAGGACATAGGAGTAGGCAAAGACTTCATGAACAAAACACCAAAAGCATTGGCAACAAAAGCCAAAATAGACAAATGGGACCTAATGAAACTCCACAGCTTCTTTTTTTATTTTTAATTATGTTTTAAGTATAATGCATGTACCATAAAGTTCACAAATCTTAAATGTACAGCTGGATAAATTTCTGTGTAACTACAACCAGATAAAGATATAATACATTTCCAGTACCCAGAAAGCTCTTCCTAGTCTATATTCTCCCAGAGGTAACTACTCTTCTGTCTTCTATTACCATAGGTTTGTTTTGACTGCTCTTTTACTTGATGTGAATAGAAGTATGCAGTGTATACTCTTGGGTCTGGATCCATTCATTTATTTTTGTGTCTGTGAGAGTCATCAATTTTGTTGCATATAATTTATTCTTATCTTTATAGCCTTTTTAAATAAGGGCAGATGGAAGGGACTGCCACTGCTGGAGAAAAAGAATCTTTTGTTTTCATTGCTAAAACAACCTTTAATCTGAACTTGGTCTACAAGTTTTTGATCAATGTGTTTTTGTGCCCAGTAATTGCATAAGCCATCCCATGTGAGGATGGTGGGGTTTTTTTTGTTGTTGTTTTGTTTTTTTGTTTGTTTGTTTTGTTTTGTTTTTGAGATGGAGTCCCCCTCTGTTGCCCAGGCTGGAGTGCAGTGGAGTCATCTTGGCTCACTGTAACCTCCGCCTCATGGGTTCAAGTGATTCTCCTGCCTCAGCCACTACTGAGTAGCTGGGATTACAGACGCCCACCACCATTCACAGCTAATTTTTGTATTTTTAGTAGAGAAGGGATTTCGCAATGTTGGCCAGACTGGTCTCGAACTCCTGACCTCAGGTGATCCGCCTGCCTCAGCCTCCCAAAGTGCTGGGATCACAGGCATGAGTCACTGCGACAGGCTGAGGATGTGTTAATGTAACAGGAAGGTTAAATGATTCTGCTATTTAGTACTGTGATTTATGACCAACTTTTGCACCTACCTCAGTCATCTCTACCCCTGTTTTCCATTATAATTCCAGTATCCTTGCTTTAATACTTTTTGACTCTTTCATTTATTCAGAAAATACTGAGGATCCAGTATACGCTAAGCACTGTGAGATAGAAGATTTCTTAAAGATAGGTCTTATGCAGTAAGAGTCCCCTGTCTGGTAGAAAACACAGACTTGCAAATGGATTAAGAGGAACATTGTGTGTTAGCCAGTAGCCGAGAATGTGTAATTTATGGTAGTGACCAAAGGAAGAGGCAGTCATCTCTGCTAAGTCTGGAAAGCTCCAGAGACATTGCTTAAGCTGAGTCTGAAGAATGAATATTTATCCTGATCTATATTGTTAACTCTCTTTGAACTGTCATAGCCCTTTATCATAGCACTTTTATGAAAGAGGCTGCTATCTGCTTTGTGTTATGTTATTCTTTTACATCTTTGATGCACTCCACTGTGCCAGGACAAGGTATTTAAGGAAACCTTAAATTTAAGGAGACCTAAAAGTTCACGGTCTCATATACATAACCTCCTTTAATCCTATAACATAGTTTTGCCTCATACTTTGATGTTGTTAATCCTTTGTTGCTTCTTTCTCTCCACTCTGTTGGGAGTATCCTGAAGCTTAGCTCTTAGCCTTCTTTCCTCTGTTCTTTCTTCCTTAGTCAACGTATCTAATATTTTGAAATCACATACATGTCATTGGTATCATACTGACCTATTTATTGTTTCTTTATAGCATTTATTACTGTGTGAAATTATCTAATGTCCTTATTTGTTTCTCCATTCATTATAAGCCTTTCTCAGTAGGATGTAAGTTCCAGGAGAACTTTATAACTTTACTGCCAGCACCTAAAATAGTGAGGAATCAGTAAATACTCTCAAAAAAAGAGAGAGAGGAACTGTTCACATCATAAGAGTAAAGAAATCAAGGTGAAGAGTAGGAGGTATATTTCTCCCACCCTACTGCCCTGCCTCTCCAATTTATTTTCCTTTATTGAGCTCTCACTTTGTATCGAGCATTATATTTCCCAGTAGAGTTACAAAGATAGGTTGTCTTAGTCCCTGAGAACTTCACAGATGAGGCTGGGTACAGTGGCTCAGGCCTGTAATCCCAGCACTTTGGGAGGCGAAGGCAGGCAGATCACTTGAAGTCAGGAGTCAGAGACCAGCCTGGCCAACATGGCAAGACCGTCTCTACTAAAAATACAAAATCTGACTGAACTTTTGAGAAGAGAGAAACATCTTTACTCGCAGGATAATGCTTTTAAATTAACACTTTATACCAGGGAACATTACAGCGTTCTCTTTCCACATGGGCTGCTGTCTGTCACTGCCTATATATCACTCATATTCTAGATTTTATTTTCTAATTTGAAATATGAAGAAATGCTTAATAATTTTGGCTGGAATATCCCTTTGAGAATGTGATAGCCCCACACTCCCAGTAAATCTACCTGTGCGCATAAGAAATTTTATATGTAATTTCAAATGCTCCGACTGCATGCTTATTTGTAGATCTCCCTAAGATACCAAGGACTCCAGTCAAGACTACCTGGAAAAGTTTATCTCCGAGGTCTCTTCCCCTCAGATGTTGGCTCCACAAGGGCAAAGCCTGGCTTTTTTACTGCTAGATCTCAACACATAGTATAGTGCCTAGCCCATAGTAGTACACAGTATTAATAACATGAATAAATAATTGATAGGTTGTGATCTTATTTGCTTTCATTGCAGGTCATAATAATAGTGCCTTTCTATGACTGCTATGAGCCCATGGTGAGAATGGCTGGAGCAACACCTGTTTTTATTCCTTTGAGATCTGTAAGTTTGCTAGTATGGGTCATATGGAAAAGTTTCAAGACTTAAGACGTCTAGAAAATACCAATTACTTTGTCACTGATAAAGTTACTACTAGAGATTTACTGAATATCTTTATTTGTCTAGTTGTCTTTTAAAAATATTTTCAAAATAAGTAATAGACTAAGGAGAACCACAAAATCTTCAGCTAGCCTTACAGTATCAGACACATTAACCATAGTTACAGCTAGCTCCTGTGAAGGAATATTAACAGCAATTAATGTTGACAGGGCTTGTTTCTCCATTTAACAGGTGTGAGCATAAGACTTAGGTCTTTTTGGGCTCTCGAGGCAGAACCACAGCCTAATTATTTCTGTTTATTTTCTTTGTTAGTCTTTTTCTACTTTTTTTCTTTGTTCCTACTCTAAGGAACCATTTCTTGGTAATTTACCCACTTACCTCTGCCATGACTTTCTTTGATTTTTTTTCCTTATTAGTTTATTCATTTGTAAGACAGTAAACATGACAATTAAATCATATCTTCATTCTTCATGTTTAGAAACCTGTTGATGGAAAAAAATGGTCTAGTTCTGACTGGACATTAGATCCTCAAGAACTGGAAAGTAAATTTAATTCCAAAACAAAAGCTATTATACTAAATACTCCACATAACCCACTGGGCAAGGTAAGCAAGTCTCTTATCTCCTTATACAGTCCTCTGACCTATCATTTCTCACATGTTGAATAATTGGCTGTGTTCTTTCCTTTATTACGTGTAGGTATATAACAAAGAGGAACTCCAAGTAATTGCTGACCTTTGCATCAAATATGACACACTCTGCATCAGCGATGAGGTTTATGAATGGCTTGTATATTCTGGAAATAAGCACTTAAAAATAGGTACTGACTACAATATAGTCACAAATCTAAATGTGTTTGGGCACATATAGAAGAACTGATTGGAAAGGATCCCAGACCAACTCTAAAATGAGACTCAAAAGTAGTATTTGAATGAGCAATACTTTCGTGAATTGATGAATAATTGAATAACTCAAAGGACAAAGAGTCAGAGATTTTGGATCATACTCTAAAGCTATGATACCAGAGAAGTCATTCTTTTGCCCAAATCCCTGGCTTCTTAGCAGAAATCCAGCCATTACTTGGCACATAAGACAAGTAAGCACAGGGAGCTTACTTGTACCTGAAGAGGTTCTAGATTGTCTGGGCTGAACAAGTTACCAAAATGCCAAGTCAACAGAAAGAAATACACAGGTAGTAAGGTATGCTGCTTGGCCCTTGCTTGAGATTCGGCCATTACTACTGGACTATCTCACAAATGCCATACTGTCTGCTGAGGTAGTTCAAACCATGTCAACTAGAGGATTACAAACTGCGCTACAACCTTTGGGTCTTTGCACCTCCCTTTCCTTTGCCTGGAAATACTTTTCAAAATAATCCGCCTGGCTCAGTCCTTTGGCTCCTTCAGGCCTTTGTCCCAATGTCAGTTTTCATGACCATCACACTGAAGATAGTTACACCTCTCCCTCCAGCATTTTCTTTGTCCTTTTTCTGTTTTGTTTTGTTTTTTCCTCTATAGTAAATATCAGAATCTGTATATTTTACTTCTAAACTGAAGTAATGTAGGGAATTTGTGTCAGTCTCTCTGCATCCCCATTTTCCATAGAATCTTGTACGTGATAGAGAATTAGAAAGAAATTGTTGAATAAATGAAGAGGAAAGATGAAAAGATTAAGGGAAGAATGACTTAAAAATGTGGCAGGAATAGGTAAATTTTAAAATTTAGGCTAGGTGCAATGGCTCACACCTATAATCCCAGCACTTTGAGAGGCTAAAGCAGGTGGATTGCTTGAGTCCAGAAGTTCTAAACCAGGCTGGGCAACAGAGAAACCCCATCTCTACATAAAAATTTTAAAAATTAGCCAGATGCAGTGGTCACAGCTACTTGGGAGACTAAGGTGGGAGGATCACTTGAGCCCAGGTACCACTGGCTCACTACAACCTCCATCTCCTGAACTCAAGCAATCCTCCCACCTCAGCCACCCAAGTAGCTGGTACTACAGGCACAGGCCACCACACCTGGCTAAATTTTTTTAAGAAAAATTAAAATAAGAAATGTAGTATGCTTATATATATTAAATTGTTGCATTGTTGCATGTGTCATAATTATTCCTATAGTATATTACAAATTGCTATAGAGATGGGAAGAGAAAGCAACTGTTTGAGGGAAATAAAAAAAGGCGTGGCCAAAAGGTAGAGAATCAGCTAAACAGAAACAGAAACCAAATTCCTAAAAACTAAACTACCATGTACTTAGGCAAGGGGGTATGAAACATCAAGATACACTTAAGGAAGGCAAATGACTATTGAAATTTTTTAAAAAAAAGAAGAAAGCTCAGTTATTTAAATTTTTTTTGAGACAGGGTCTTGCTCTGTCACCCAGGTTGGAGTGCAGTGGCACATAGCTCACTGTAACCTCAAACTTTTGGATTCAAGCAATCCTTCCGCCTCAGCCTCCCAAGTAGCTATGACTACAAGTGTGCACCACCTCATCTGGCTAATTTATTTATTTATTTAATTTTAATTTAGGTTCTGGGGTACATGTGCAGATCATGCAGGATTGTTGTGTAGGTACATACATGGCAAGGTGGTTTGCTGCCTTCATCCCCCCATCACCTATATCTGGTATTTCTCCCCTCATTATCCCTCCCCACCCAGCTGTTTCTCGCCAACACCCGCCCCTACTGATCACAGTATGTGATGCTCCCCTCCCTGTGTCCACATGTTCTAATTGTTCAACACCCGCCTATGAGTGATAACATACGGTGTTTGGTTTTCTGTTCTTATGTGAGTTTGCTGAGCATGATGGTTTCCAGATTCATCCAGGTCCCTAGGAAGGACACGAACTCATCATTTTTTATGGCTACGTAGTATTCCATGGTATATATGTGCCACCTTTTCTTTATCCAGTCTATCGATGATGGACATTTGGGTTGGTTCCAGGTCTTTGCTATTGTAAACAGTTCCGCAGTGAACATACGTGTGCTTGTGTCTTTATAATAGAACAATTTATAATTCTTTGGGTATATACCCAGTAATTGCTGGGTCAAATGGTATTTCTATTTTTAGGTCCTTGAGGAATCACCACACTGTCTTCCACAATGGTTGAACTAATTTACACTCCCACCAACAGTGTAAAAGGGTTCCTATTTCTCCACATCCTCTCCAGCATCTGTTGTCTCCAGATTTCTTAATGATCGCCATTCTAACTGGTGTGAGATGGTATCTCAATGTGGTTTTGATGTGCGTTTCTCTAATGACCAGTGATGATGAGCATTTTTTCATATGTTTGTTGGCCTCATATATGTCTTCTTTTGTAAAGTGTCTGTTCATATCCTTTGCCCACTTTTGAATGGGTTTGTTTGTTTTTTTCTTGAAAATCTGTTTTAGTTCTTTGTAGATTCTGGATACTAGCGCTTTGTCAGATGGGTAGATTGTAAAAATTTTTTCCCATTCTGTTGGTTGCTGGTTCACTCTAAGGATTGTTTCTTTTGCTGTGCAGAAGCTCTGGAGTTTAATTAGATCCTATTTGTCCATTTTGGTTTTTGTTGCCATTGCTTTTGGTGTTGTAGCCATGCAATCCTTGCCTATGCCCGTGTCCTGAATGGTTTTGCCTAGGTTTTCTTCTAGGGTTTTTATGGTATTAGGTCTTATGTTTAGATCTTTACTCCATCTGGAGTTAATTTTAGTGTAAGGTGTCAGGAAGGGGTCCAGTTTCTGCTTTCTGCAAATGGCTGGCCAGTTTTCCCAACACCATTTATTAAACAGAGACTCCTTTCCCCATTGCTTGTTTTTCCCAGGTCTGTCAAAGATCAGATGATTTTAGATGTGTGGTGTTGCTTCTGAGGCCTCTGTTCTGTTCCATTGGTCTGTGTCTCTGTTTCAGAACCAGTACCATGCCATTTTGATTACTGTGGCCTTGTAGTATAGTTTGAAGTCAGGCAGCATGATGCCTCCGGCTTTGTTCTTTTTGCTTAGGATTATTTTGGCTACGTGGGTTCTCTTTTGGTTCCATACGAAGTTTGAAGTCGTTATTTCCAGTTCTGTGAAGAAGGTCATTGGTAGCTTGATGGGGATAGCATTGAATCTATAAATTACTTTGGCCATTTTCACAATGTTGATTCTTCCCAACCATGAGCATGGGATTTTTTTTCCTTCTGTTTGTGTCCTCCCTTATTTCATTGAGCAGTGGTTTGTAGTTCTTAATTTATTTTTAATTTTTGTAGAGATAGCATCTCACTATGTTGTTCTGACTGTTCTCAAACTCCTGGACTCAAGCAATCCTCCTACCCTGGCCTGCCAAAGGGCTCTGAATACAGTAATAAGCCATCACACTAAGCCTCAGTTTGATTTATGAGGGTGTATTGTAGTAACTGGCATAGATCAGAGTGGAAAAGTAGGGTGATTCTAAAGGACTTTGAATATGATATAAAGAGTATAAACTTTGAGGAGGTCAGTGGTTCTGAAACTTACTTTAGTGAGAGATTACCATGAGATCATAGCATTCCACATCATGAAATAGTTATATGGTGAATTCCATCCTGAACATAGTAGCAATTTTCCTAATAGAAATTCAACAATTAGAAGCCAATATAAAAAAATCACAATTCTGTTCATACTTGTCCATAACAAAAAGCTGTTGAAATAAACACATTTGAGGTTTTCTGATTTTGCCTTTAACATGCATTTACTAAATGCTTATTTGTTTCACTGTTGGAGTGTTCACTATCAGATAAGTGGTAGCATTTGCTAAAGGCTTAAGAAAATTGTCTGGAAGAAAAACTTAAAATTGATTTTTAAAAATTATGCACATTAATTTGATCACCAGAGTGCCAGTGAACCTACTTTGAGAACTATTGCAAAAGCTGTAACAAAACAGGAGAATTGGTTCCATTACTAGATTTCTTTTTTTAACAAAGGTAAGAGCCAGCCACAGAGGAGAGTCTTAAGCAAATCAGATGACCAAGCACTGGAGATGGAATATGGGGGCTATTTAAAAACTATAGAGTATAGCATTTGAAGGTGGGAAGCAAGCAAGCAAATATATGATACTAACATCTCTAGCCTGAACTACTCAGCAGTGGTGAGGACTTTAACCCAAGTAAATGTGGAGAGGAGGAACAGATTTGTAGGGAAGGGCTGAGCAAAGGGACTTGCTGCTTCTCATGCTTTAAACTTCCTGCATTTGGGTATCTATGGGACATAGAGGAATAAAATATATCTGGGGACAAGTAGAATTTTAGGCCTGATGATCAGAATCAGATTATAATGGGATATATTTTTGGCAGTCATCAAAATGTTGGCGGTAGCTAAACACATGGAAGAGAATGAATTTTCTCAAGGAGAATATATATAAACAGAGAGAGCAGCCAGAGATTTGCAGAATGTGGCACCTTAATACAGCAAAATGTTATCATGTGTTAAATTGTACCAGAGTCCACCACTGCCCATCTTGTTAGTGACCAGAGTCCACCACTGCCCATCTTGTTAGTGACTTCTTTCTCAAGTCATTTGTACTGTTTCCCAGTGGAAAATCAGATTAACATGAACAATTACTTTCTTGTTGTAATTAACTCAGTGTAGCAGTATTCATCCCAAAAGATCACTTCAGATGATCTTGAAATTTATTGTTTAGATCTACTCACTGTAAGTCCTTCAGGGTAAAGTGTAACTGATAACATAATTTACTAAAGATAGGCAAGAAGTATATTTTAAATTTAATTTTTTTTTTAATTGTAACAGCCCATAAAGTTTAAATAAGACCAAAAAAATGAAAATGCAATTTGTTTGCATTAAAACTTGGGTATTCTATCAAATACAGTGGTCTTTGTTAAATTAAAGATGCAAAATGGCTATTACATCAATTTGCAAAGTTCAACAGTAGTCCTTTAATATATGAGATATTCCTTTACTTTAAAGGAAGTGATAATCTACATTATACATAGTTTAGATTTTCTCTGGTCAAACAGAAAAGTTGGCATGTGTCATAGTGTTCTTTTGGAGTACTTTGGAAGACCTGAAATGTCTCAAAACTTGAAGGGATATAACTATCTATCAAGTATTGAAATATTTCTTCTTCAAGCAGACATTCTAAATATTTTCCTCACTTATCTTTTTGGGTTTTGTTATATTCCACAGAGAATAAAATTATAACTTTTCTGATTATATACTTTTCCTACTGTTACAAATTTAGTAGGTATTTCAGGGTAGACTGAAATTACTTATACATTGTTTTGGAAATTTCTGTAGCTGCCTTACATTTTAGTAGGTACTTTACTTGCTTATGAACAGATTACTTCAAGAAAGCACAAGCTCAGATTCCCAGAGATGAGCATTTATTTTCCCTTTGTGTGTACCAAAACTCTTAAGAACAGTATAAAAGCCCCCACTTGTACTTCTGAAAAACAAGTGGAAAAACTTGTGGGTGGCATGGAAAGAACTTCACAACTAAATTACCTGAGGAATCCAAAGTGTGGGTGGCACTCTCAAAGGGTGACGGAATGGTAATTTACCAGTTATAACCAATGTCTAGCAAAATTTACAAACTTGCATTTTAGGCCTCCAGGCCTTCGTTACATGCCTTAGCCCAAAATATCTTCCTTACCCTTCTCTGCCTGGCTGTGGCTATATGGTCTTCTAAGTCTCAGCTCAAGAATTACTAGCTGCAGAAAGCCACCCTCAACACTCTCTTCTATTCTTGCATCACCCTCCATGTCTCCTGCCATTACAGCATTTTTATCACACTGAATTATAATTGTCATTTTATGTGACTCATGTCCCCACTAGAAATTAAATTTTTTGAAGAATTGCATCTTATTCATCTTTGTTTCCTCTAGACCTAGCTTAGTCCCTAGCACCTGGTGGTTGCTAATGAATATTTGATGTATGAATGAATGAATATCTTTATTAAAGATGTTAATCAACTTGAAAACCGTTATATAGCTAATTCACATTATTCTTTAGTTCTGCATTTGCAAATTTGCCTACTCCCTAAAATATATGTGTAAACCCAAAATCAGTACTCACAGCACTTCATTTAAAGATTGGAGTCACCCTACACACATTCCAAGTTGAAATCGAACATTTTGCTTCTGTTTCAGTTCACACTATGAGCAATTATTCTCTGTACAGTGATTTTGCTGTTTAAAATGGCCCCCAAGCCTAGTGCTAAAGTGCTGTCTAGTATTCCTCAGTGTTAGAAGGCTGTGACGTTCCTTATGGAGAAAATATGTGTGTTTGATAAGCTTCATTCAGGCACAATGGCCATGAAGATATTAAAGAGTGATAGCTAAAAAATACAGGGCTTCTTTTAGGGTGAAAAAAATGTTCTGAAATTGGTTATGGTGATAGTTGCACAGGTCTATAGATATACTAAAAATCACTGAATGGTATACTTTAAGTTGGCTAATTACATGATATGGGATTTATAACCCAATAAAGTTGTTAGTAAAACACACACACACAGGTGCACACACAATTACTGGGTTCTACCACCAGAGTTTCTGATTCCATAGGTCTGGGATGAGGCCCAATGATTTGCCTTTCTTACAAGTTGCCCAGTGATGCTGTTATTGCTGGTGTGAGATCACATTTTAAGAGCCATTGCTCTAGGAAGCCTGGAGAAATACACTTAGAAAATAGGCAAGATAAAGGGGCCTAAACAGTAATCAGGATCACAACCTAAGCCCTGCCACAGGATTATTATATTGAAAATGCAGCCACTGCTAACATTGAACACTGAATGCTACAGCCCCTGTGACAGCTGCCGCTTGAAGCAGACTGGAACACTGCCTGCTGGCACCCCTGACACTCCAGCACCAGAACTAATTTTAAAATTATTAAATCTATTTACATATTATTTTGGTACAGCATTACAGTGTTGTAACCTTTTCATCTGTGTTTTGCATTAAAGTTATATTATCTAAAAATAAAAAACTAGACATAACTAGACTGGCTAAACTATAATACATTTATTTTCATTGAACTTATATGTCTTTGTTATGTTTTTCGATTATACTAAATGTAGATTAATTGGAAAGCAATTATTTAACCTTTTTTCTTCCACTGTTTAGCCACTCTTCCAGGTATGTGGGAGAGAACAATAACGATAGGAAGTGCTGGAAAGACTTTCAGTGTAACTGGCTGGAAGGTAAGATGAGTAAGAATTTCAATGCTTAAAAATAGGCCTGTAATCCCAGCACTTTGGGAAGCCAAGGTGGGTGGATCACAACATTAGGAGTTCGAGACCAGCCTAAACAATATGATGAAACCCGTCGCTACTAAATATAAAAAAAAATATTAGCCAAACACGGTGGTGCGTGCCTGTAATCCCAGCTACTCAGGAGGCTGAGGCAGGCAAACTGCTTGAAACTGAGAGGTGGAGGTTGCACTGAGCTGAGATGGCACCACTGCACTCCAGCTTGGGTAACAGAGCAAGACTCCAACTCAAAAAAAAAAAAAAAAAAGGCCTGTATATTATTTTATGTAGTGTTTTGTGTTTTAAATACTGGCCAGGCATGGTGGCTCATGCCTATAATCCCAGTATTTTGGGACGCTAAGGCAAGAGGATCACTTAAGACTAAGAGTTCAAGACCAACCTTGGCTACATAGTGAGACCCTGTCTCTACAAATACATTTTTTAAAAAATTAGCCAGGGATGGTGGTGCATGCCTGCAGTCCCAGCTACTTGGGAGGCTGATGTGAAAGGATCACTTGAGCCCAGGAAGTTGAGGCTGCAATGAGCTACACTCCAGCCACTGGGAGACAGAGCAAGATTGTCTTTAACAAAATAATGAACTAAATAAGTAAGCAGATAAATGAATAATTGTATACATACTCAGTTTATAGATTTTTATACCTGGTGATCTTTGCTTATCTTTTGACTTATTTGGCTTTCATGTTGAGTTTTATCCTTTTTGAGACCTAATTATTTCTTTAAAAGTAAGAAAAATTAGGTCATTCTTTTCTATTATAAGTAATCAACTAATGACACCTTTTTCTTTGCAAACAAGTGTTTAGATTGCTGCATATTAATATAAAAGGAGAAAAAAATAATAGTAGCTAATATTTTGGCACTTGCTATATACCAGGTTCTAAGTGTTTTACATATACTAGTTTCTTTCATTCCCATAACTGTACTATAAGGTGGGTATGATTACTATCCTCATTTTACAGATGACAAAGCTAAAGCACAGAGAAGTTAAGTGATTTGCCTGAGACTACCCCACTAATAAATTCAAGCCAGAAGAAAAAGTCTGGCTCTAGGATTCATGCACTTAACCCCTGTATTATTTGTTACAATAATTTATCCAGTTAAAAAACCCAATTCTCTTCCAGCCTCACCCCTCCTGAACATGGGTAACCAGCCAGGCACAGTGGTGCACGCCTGTAATCCCAGTACTTTGGGAGGCCAAGGAAGGTGGATCACCTGAGGTCAGGTGTTCTCGACCAGCCTAACATGGTGAAAGCCCGTCTCTACTAAATACAAAAAAATTAGCCAGGTGTGGTGGCACATGCCTGTAATCTGAGCTATTTGGGAGGCTGAGACAGGAGAATCATTTGTACCTGGGAAGCAGAGGTTACAGTGAGCTGAGATCAGGCCATTGCACTCCACCTGAGCAACAAGGGCAAAATTCCATCTCAAAAAAAAAAAGAAGCAGGGCATCAAAAATTAGGCCTGCAAAAGTCTATATACATAGTTTTAATTATGCGTTCCTTCCGCCCTCATTCAATGTTACTTTAATCTTTAATTCAAACAAGCTTTATTACCAGTTGTTAATCTTCCAGAATATCAGAATTAGCGAACTAGAAGAGAGGAAAAGGCTAACAATGATTGCAAGCTGCTTACCTTCTGAAAGGCAGAGCTTAGTGATGAAGGCAGAGCTTAGTGATTCCAGTTGGAAGCCATTCCATGAAGAGAAGAGCATTGAAATGATTCTAAGTACTAATACTGTACTACTTTCATAGTGTAAACTTTTTTGGGGGTGGGGGATGGATCTTACTCTGTCACCCAGGCTGGAGTGCAGTGGTACATCTTGGCTCACTGCAACCTCTGCCTCCTGGGGTGAAGTGATTCTCCTCTCTCAGCTTCCCAAGTAGCTGGGATTACAGGCTCCCACCACCACTGGATTCAGCTAATTTTTTTGTATTTTTAGTAGAGACAGTGTTTCACCATGTTGACCATGCTGGTCTTGAACTCCTAATCTCAAGTGATCCACCCGCCTCAGCCTCCCAAAGTGCTGGGATTACAGGTGTGAGCCACCACACCCAGCCAACATTTTAAGATTGTATATATTTAATGATTGCATTAATTTTAAACTGTTGTCTCAGATTTGCTATATACAGTCTGATTTTTTGAAATCTTTTATCTTTTCCTTTCCCAGCTTGGCTGGTCCATTGGTCCGACTCATTTGATAAAACATTTACAGACAGTTCAACAAAATACGATTTATACTTGCGCAACTCCTTTACAAGTAAGTGTTATAGTTAAGACAGGGTAGAAGCATGGTCTTTTGGTGAAGATACTACTTTTATATTGCATATTTGAGTTGACCTGGTTCTTCTCTTTCTATCCTTCTGTTGCAGGGCCTTTTAATATAATTTGGAATTTGGGGAGCAGATACATATTCAGGATGGTTTGGGTTTTTTTTTTCTTAATACAAGTTTAGCTGTTTAAACATTGCTTGCGGGAGTCTAAAGTGCTACAGATTCTATGAAGGACAATGACAAAACTAAGCAAAATTACATATGTGCTTGCCCTATGAAAGCAATTCATCTTCTAAGAATTTACTCTAAAGCTGTGTTTTAGTCCATTCTTGCACTCGGGTAAAGAAATGCATGAGGCTTAGTAATTTATAAAGAAAAGGGGTTTCCTTGGTTCATGGTTCTACAGGCTGTACAGAAAGCATAGTGGCTTCTGCTTCTGGAGAGGCCTCAGAAAACTTAAAATAATGGCAGAAGGCAAAGAGGAAGTAAGCATGCCTTACATGGCTAAAGCAGGAGGGAGAGAAGTGGGGAAGTGCAACACACTTTTAAACAACCAGATCTCACAATAACTCACTATCATGAGAACAGCACCAAGGGGACGGTGTTAAATCATTCATGAGAAACCACCCCCATGATCAAATCACCTCCCACCAGGCCCCACCTCCAACATTGAAGATTACAATTGGACAAGAGATTTGGATGAAGACACAGATACAAACCATATCAAACTATTATCTGCACATGTAAGAAGTTATGTACTTACCTGGCTATTCATTGCAGATGATTGAGGATAAACTGTTATCATCTACAGACAGTTTGTTACATAAACCATGATCTATCATTGAAACATTGAAATGTTATGTAACCATATTGGTTTCCTACTGGTGCTGTAACAAATTACCACAAACTTAGTGACTTAAAACAACACCAATTTATTAAGCCTGCAGTTCTTCAGCTCAGAAATCTGAAATGGGTCTTAAAGGGTAAATCAAGGTGCTGGCATTGCTGTGTTCCTTCTGAAGGCTCTAGGAGGGACCCTGCTCTATGCCTTCTCCAGCTTCTAGAGGTTGCCTACATTCTTTGGCTCACAGTCACATTAATCCATCCTCTGCTTACATCAACACATCTCCTCCTGTGACTTCAACCCTCCCACCTCCCTTTTTCCTTTATAAGCATCTTTGAGATAACATTAGGCCCACTGGATAATCTCCCCATCTAAAGATCCTAAATTCAAATCACATCTGCAAAGTTCCTTTCACCATGCAAGGTAACATATTTACAAGTTCTGGGTTTTAAGATCTAGACGTCGTTGGGACCCATTATTCTGTCTACCAACTACTGAAGAGAAAAGAAACAAGAAATAAAATGGAGAAATACTATAATTACTGTACTGAGATAAAAAAAAGATTTCTAAAATATAAAGTAAAAAAAGAAAACTGTAAATATTATTTAATATTTTATGTATTTATTATGGAAATAGGGATTTATTTACCATCATTCTGTGGATAATCAAAATGCTGAAAAAATATTATTTTTCTAGAAGGCAGTTAAAGGGCAAAAGAGCCAGGCATGGTAGCTCATGCCTGTAATCCAGCACTTTGGGAAGCTGAGGCGGACAGATCACTTGAGGTCAGGAGTTTGAGACCAGCCTGCCCAACATGGTGAAACCCCGTCTCTACTAAAAATATAAAAATCAGCTGGGTGTGGTGGTGGGTGCCTGTAATCCAAGCTACTCAGGAGGCTAAGGCAGGGGAATCGCTTGAACTCAGGAAGTTTTGGTGAGCCAAGATCATGCCACTGCACTCCAGCCTGGGCAACAGAATGAGACTCTGTCTCAAAGAAAAAGGGGGCAAAAGAGCAAAATATATTGACTATAGTAAACTTGATTTTTTGCTTCCTTTCAAAAATACCTTCTGAATCAGAAAAAAATCTTATTTAAAAGTTCTTTCTTTAGCGATTCTCTAAAGTAACTCACAATAAAGCAAAGTTCTAACATTTGGTTTTATTATATGTTAAATTAATTTCATCCTCTCAAAATAAATCCATTCATTTTCAACAAATATTTACTGAGTACTGGAGATACAGCAGACAACAATTTCTGCCCTCATGAAGCTTACAACCTAATTGGTGGAATATAATAATAAATAAATATTTTAAAAATATGTCAGCTATGGATTGATATGAAGAAGAAAGATAAAATAGGGAAGAGGAAGGCTATAAAGCACCAGTGGGAGAATACACAGTGTTAAATAGGGTAATCTTTAAAAGCCTCCCTGGGAAGATAACATTTGAACAACTAACTGAAGGAGTTTAAGCAGCTACATGGTTACCTAGAGAGAACAGCAAGTGGAAAGGCCAGGTGGTAGACAGCCTTGCCAGCATGTTTATATCAGAGAACAGCACAGAGACTGTGTAGTGGTTCAGTCAGGGTAGTGGGAGAAATTATGAGAAAAATTATAGAGAAATAGATGCAAAATTTCTTGGAAGGTCAGGAGGTTTTTGCAAAAGCCTCGGGAAGGAATGAGCCTAAGGCGGTGGTTCTTACCCAGAGGCAATTAGGGAGAAGTTGGTACAAGGAAATGTTACGGAGTTTATCTAAAGAGCTTATTTACTCATGTGGTCCTAAGACCAACCTTTGAACACCCATGGGTGCATGACTACTCTCTACTCAGGGGGTCAACAATGTTATTACCCACAAATGGTGTCTGCTTTAGGCCTCAGAACCTGGCCTTTAACCATTCCACAAATGTATTGACTCAAAGCCTCTGTCATTAAATTTATATAGAATAAAGGCCAGCAGTGCCAGCTGGTAAGGGCCACAGCTGCTGACTCTTTACAGCACCCTCCTCTGTGAGTGGCCTGGACCCCTAAGCCCACGCTTTCACTGGATATCCGTGTCTGAGTGCATTTGTTCATCTGTTGCTGGGCCAGGGTCTGCAAGTAGGACCCGACAAGACTGGAATGGAATGATCAAGGGAGAAGAGTAGGAAAGCTAAGATCAGACAGGTAGCTGGGAGTCAAATGGAGCTGGGCCATGCACATCACTGTAAGGAGTGAATGAGATAGAAAGTCACCAGAGAGTTTTGAGTTCAGGAGGGACTTGGTCTGGCTTGTTTTACAGACTCTGACTGCTTCCTTGAATGAGAAAGTTGTTGCAGTGATTCAAGAGAGAAGGGCCACTGGATTGAACCAAGATGGGGATGGTAGAAGTAGTAAAAAGTGATTGGACTCTGAATATATTTTGAAAATAGAGCCAACATTATTTGTCAATAGGTTACATATGGGGTATGAGAAAAAGGAAGGAGCCCAGGATGATGCTGCAGTTAGGATGGATGTTTATGTCTCCTTTCACTTGGAATTTTCTAAGGCAGTATCTCCTATAGTGAATGAACAAGTTGCCAAGAGAAAAAAGAGATACAGCCAATAATACATCTTTTTCTGAACCATCTTATGCTCCCTTTCAACTAGGTGCTCTGTTTTGTTCTAGGATAACTATGTTTAGTTCCAGGAAACCACAGATTTCCAGGCTAAAGCAATCCTTATTTTCCAAGATTTTTGTAGTACTGGAGAATTATTACTAATTCTGTTTTACTGCATTCTTTTGGCATCTCTGTGATCTTGCCTCTCTCTGTCTCCAGTCTCATCTCTTGCCACACTGTCTCTCTTACCTTCCAGATTCTTAATGTCTTAGTTGGTCTGGGCTGCAGTAACAAATGGACTGGGTGGCTTATAAACAATGGAAATTTATTTCTCACCATTCAGGAGGTGGGAAAAGTCCAAGATTAAGGCACCAGTAGATTTGGTGTCTGGTGAGGACCTTCTTCTTCATGAATGGTACCTTTTGCTGTGTCCTCACATGGTAGAAGGAGCAAGCTAGCCCTCCTTTGTAAGGGCACTAATTCTGTTGGTGAGGGCTCTACCTTTCTACACTAATCTCCTCCTAAAGGCCCCACTTCCTAATACCATCACCTTGGGGTTTAGGATTTTAATATATGAACATGGGAACAAACACAAACATTTAGTCCACTGCACTTAAACACTGGCTTTTTCCTTGGCCCAGTTTGCTTTCCTGGCTCTTGAAGAAAGGTAGAGGAATTACTATAGATGTTCCAGAAACTCATTTCTATCCCCTGTTACACTTTGACCACCTTCCTGGCAAATGAATGATTCCAGCAAAGATTTGCACACCTATAGGGAATAAGAAAGGCGCATCTCTCCTTTACACAGTGGGTTAGCTTTCATTTCCACTCTGTCCCCAAAGGTAATGGTGAAAGGCCAACTACTCTCTGGTTGTTTTTCTGACTTAGATTTAGCAAGTCATTCTACAACTCACCTCATTAAGAAAATGTCTTAATGTCTTAATGTCTTTTTGTTTCCAAGCAAGCCATCTTTATGTAACAGCTCTTTTTCAATTTGAATTTTCATGACTCATTCTCAGTTCTTCACATGAGATTTAATCATTCAGGTATAACTGATTCCTCCATTAATTTAGAGTTTAATATAGGTTCACAGGAATTCAACTTATTTCCTGAGTGACTTCCTTGCCAATAATTTTACTCAGGTCATCTTTATTTATTATACCAATAAACTAAGCAATAAATAACTTTTCCATATTCCCTTTCGTATTTTTTAATTCTAACAGGAAGCCTTGGCTCAAGCTTTCTGGATTGACATCAAGCGCATGGATGATCCAGAATGTTACTTTAATTCTTTGCCAAAAGAATTAGAAGTAAAAAGAGATCGGATGGTATATTTACTTGAAAGTGTTGGCCTAAAACCCATAGTTCCTGATGGAGGATACTTCATCATTGCTGATGTGTCTTCACTAGGTTTGTAAAGGCTTTTATTATTTGAGCTATGTGGAAATTTATGTGTGAAATTATAGCAGGATTATGGAGAAAAGATTGGTATCAAAGCCATGGCAGCATCTTATCTGCAGAGAAGAATGGATTTTTGCAATGTCAACATTTTCTATAATTATCTTTGCTTTTAGGTCTTTTACCTTAAATGTGACTGTTATTAAATGTTTATGGAGTCAGTGTTGTTTTAGTTAATCTATTAAACAAAAGATTTGCTGTCACTATGTTCTGGTAAGTAATTTAAAAACACAAGTGTGTGAAATAATATATACTTGGTGTTCATTTGAGTAAAATTTTAGTTTGTTTTTTACTTAACCAGAAAGTACTATTTCATTAGAAAAATAAGATATAGAGAAACTTTGAAGCTATCAGGGAATATTTGCCATTTTAGAATGTACTGAAATAAAATAGAGGGAGAATAACATTTATTAAGGTTTCACTTTGTGCCATGTACTTAGAACACCCTTCAAAACATGTTTTGAAGAAAACATTAGCTCCATTTTTGCAAGTAATAAGATTTAGAAAGTTTTAAATAACTTGACTGAAGTCACACAGCTGGATTCTAAATAGTTCTGTTTCCAAAAAGCAATGGTTTTTATATTACCTAAAGTCATTACATGTAATTCCAACATGCCATGCAAATTTAAAGTTAGAAGCATGATAGTGTGTCATATATAACTTAACATTTCTTTGAAAAAAAAAACATTAATAAAAGTAAACTAAGTAATGGCAGCCATTACGGAGGCAGTCTGCCATAGCAGAGGCAGTCCACCATTACTGAGGCAGTTCTAACTATACCTCTATAAACAAAACCACAATGAGGTTCACACAACAGCTGGGCAGAGCCTGCAGCAGCTAAGCCATGCCTCTACTGGCAGACTGTGACTAGGCTACCTCTGTGCTGGGCAGGGCAGCTCTGAAAAAAGGCAGCAGCATGTCAGGAACTCATAAATAAAGCCCACCTTCCCAGGACAGAGCACCTGGGAAAAAAGGGGAGTTATGAGTTCTGCTGCAGTAGACTTAAATGTACCTGCCCAGCAGCTCTGAACAGAACAAAACTCACAGCTCAGCACTTGAGCTACTATAAGGGACAAAGTGTCTCCTCAAGCAGCTCCCTGGCCCCCCTATATCCAAAGAGTAACCTCATAAAGGAGAGCTCAGGCTGACATCTGGCGGGTATCCTGGGACAAAGATAACAGAAGAAGAAACTGGCAGCAACCCTTACTGTTCTGCAGCCACTACAGGTGATCCCTAGGTAAGCAGCATCTGTAGTGAACCTCCAGCAATGTTACAACAGAGAGGCCTGCCTGTTAGAAGGAAAACTAAAAAGACGGAAAGAAATAAATTTATCATCAACAAAAAGGATGTCCACTCAAAGTCACCAACTACAAAGACCATAGGTAGATAAATCCACAAAGATGGGAAGAAACCAGTGCAAAAAGGATGAAAACACCCAAAACCAGAAAGCCCCTCCTCCTCCAAGGGATCACAACTGATCACCAGCAAAGGAACAAAGATGGATGGAGAATGAGTCTGATGAATTGACAGAATCAGGCTTCAGAAGGTAGGTAATAACAAACTTCTCTGAGCTAAAAGAACATGTTCTAACCCAATGCAAAGAAACTAAGAACCTTGAAAAAGGTTTGACTAAATGCTAACAAGAATAAGCAGCATAGAGAAGAATATAAATGACTTAATGGAGCTGAAAAACACAACACAAGAACTTCACGAAGCATACACAAGTTTCAATAGCTGAATTGGCCAAGCAGAAGAAAGGATATCAGAGATTGAAGATCAATGAAATAAAATGAGAAGGCAATATTAGAGGAAAAAGAGTGCAAAGAAATGAACAAAGCCTCCAAGAAATATGAGATTATGTGGAAAGACCTAATCTATGTTTGATAAGTGTATCTGAATGTGACGGAGAGAATGAATCCAGGCTGGAAAACACTTCAGGATATAATCCAGGAGAACTTCCCCAACCTAGCAAGGCAGGCCAATATTCAAGTCTAGGAAATACAGAGAACACCACAAAGATATTCCTCAAGAAGAGCAACCCCAAGGCACATAATCATCAGACTCACCAGGGTTGAAATGAAGGAAAAAATGCTAAGGGCAGCCAGAGAGAAAGGTCAGGTTACCCACAAAGGGAAGCCCATCAGACTCACAGCAGATCTCTCAGCAGAAAACCTACAAGCCAGAAGAGAGTGGAGGACAATATTCAACGTCCTTAAAGGAAAGAACTTTAGAATTTCATATCAAGCCAAATTAAGCATCATAAGCGAAGAAGAAATAAAAGCCTTTACGAACAAGAAATTGCTGGGAGATTTCGTCACCACCAGGCCTGCCTTACAGGAGCTCCTGAAAGGAACACAAAACACAGAAAGGAACAACCAGTATCAGCCACTCCAAAAACATACCAAATGATAAAAAGCATTGACAAATGAAACTGCATCAACTAATGGGCAAAACAACCAGCTAGCATCAAAATGGCAGGATCAAATCACACAACAATATTAACCTTAAATGTAAATGGGCTAAATGCCCCAACAAAAAGACACTGACTGGCAAACTGGATAAAGAACCAAAACCCATCAATGTGCTGTATCCAGGAAACCCATCTCACATGCAAGGACACACATAGGCTTAAAATAAAGGGATGGAGGAAGATTTACCAAGCAAATGGAGAGCAAAAAAAAAAGCAGGAGTTGCAATCCTAGTCTCTGATAAAATAGACTTTAAACCAACAAAGATCAAAAGAGACAAAGAAGGGCATTAAATAATAGTAAAAGGATCAGTGCAAAAGAAGAGCTAACAATCCCAAATCCTAAATATATACGCACCCAATACAAAGCACCCAGATACATAAGGCAAGTTCTTAATGACCTACAAAGAGACTTAGACTCCCACACAATAATAGTGGGAGACTTTAACACTCCATTGTCAATATTAGACAGATCAACCAGACAGAAAATTAACAAGATTATAAAGGACTTGAACTCAGATCTGGACCAAGCAAACTTAATAGACATCTACAGAACTCTCCACCCCAAATCCACAGAATATACATTCTTCTCAGCACCACATCACACCTACTCTAAAATTGACCACATAATTGGAAGTAAATCACTCCTCAGCAAATGCAAAGAACAGAAATCATAACAAACAGTCTCTCAGACCACAGTACAATTAAATTACAACTCAGGATTAAGAAACTAACTCAGAACTGCACAACTTCATGGAAACTGAACAACTGGCTCTTGAATGTTGACTGGATAAACAATGAAATGAAGGCAGATATAAACATGTTCTTTGAAACCAACAAGAATGAAGACACAATGTACCAGAATCTCTGGGGCATATTTAAAGCAGTATCTAGAGGAAAATTTATAGCAATAAATGCCCAAATGAGAACCAAGGGAAGATCTAAAATTGACATCCTGTCATCAAAATTGAAAGAGCTAGAGGAATAAGATCAAAAAACTCAAAAGCAAACATAAGACAAGAAATACTTAAGATCAGAGCAGAACTGAAGTAGATAAAGACACAAAAATCCCTTCAAAAAAAATCAATAAATCCAGGAGCTGGTTTTTTTTTTTTTAAAGATCAACAAAATAGACCACTAGCCAGATTAATAAAAAAGAATTAAATACATGCATTAAAAAAAATAAAGGGGATGTCACCACCAAGTCCACAGAAATACAAACTACCATCAGAGATTACTACAAACAACTCTGCACAGAAACCAGTAAACCTGGAAGAAATGGATAAATTCCTGGAAACTTGCACCCTCCCAAGCCTAAACCAGGAAGAAGTAGAAACCCTGAATAGACCAATTACAAGGGCTGAAGTTGAGGCAGCAAGTAATAGCCTACCAACCAAAAAAAGTCAAGGTCCAGATGGGTTCACAGCTGAATTCTAGCAGACATATAAAGAGGAGTTGGTACCACTCCTTCTGAAACTATTCTGAACAATCCCAAAAGAAGAAATCCTTCCCAAATCATTTTATGAGACCAACGTCATCCTAATGCCAAAATCCAGCAGAGACTCAACAAAAAACAAAACTTCAGGTCAATATCTGTGATGAACATAGATGCAAAAATCTTTAATAAAATGCTGGCAAACCAATAGCAACAGCACATTGAAAAGCTTATCCATCATGTTCCTGTAGGCTTCATCCCAGGGATGCAAGGCTGGTTCAACATACACAAGTCTGTAAATGTAATTCACCACATAAACAGGACCAAAGACAAAAACCACATGATTATCTCAATAGATGCAGAGAAGGCCTTTGACAAAATTCAACAGCGCTTTATGCTAAAAACTCTCAATAAACTAGATATCGACAGAATGTATCCCAAAATAATAAAAACTATTTACAACAAACCTACAGCCAATATCATACTGAATAGGCAAAAACTGAAGCATTTTCTTTGAAATCTGGCACTAGACAAGGATGCCCTCTCTCACCTCTCCTATTCAATATAGTATTGGAAGTTCTAGCCAGAGCAATCAGGCAAGAAAAAGAAATAAAGGGCATTCAGTTAGGAAAGGAGGAAGTCAAATTTGTCTCTATTTGCAGACGACATGACTGTGTATTTAGAAGACCCCATCATCTCAGCCCAAAATCTCCTGAAACTGATAAGCAATCTCAGCAAAGTCTCAGGATATAAAATCAATGTGCAGAAATCACAAGCATTCCTATACACCAATAACAGACTTAAAGAGAGCCAATCAGGAATGAACTGCCATTCACAATTGCTACAAAGAGAATAAAATACCTAGGAATACAACTAACCAAGGATGTAAAGGACCTCTTCAAGGAGAACTACAAACCACTGCTCAAGGAAATAAGAGAGGACACAAACAGATGGAAAACATCCCATGTTCATGGTTATGATGAATCAATATTATGAAAATGGCCATACTGCCCAAAGTAATGTATACATTCAGCCCTATCCCCATCAAGCTACCTATGTCCCTCTTCACAAAACTAGAAAAAACCACCTTGAACTAAATATGGAACCAAAAGAGAGCCTGCATAGACAAGTCAATTCTAAGCAAAAAGAACAAAGCTGGAGGCATCACAGTACCTGACTTCAAACTATACTACAAGGCTACAGTAATCAAAACAACATGGTACTGGTACCAAAACAGAAATATAGACCAATGGAACAGAACAGAGGCCTCAGAGGTAATGCCACATATCTACAACCATCTGATCTTTGACAAACCTGACAAAAGCAATGGGGAAAGGATTCCCTGTTTAATAAATGGTGTTGGGAAAACTGGCTAGCCATTTGCAGAAAGCAGAAACTGGACCCCTTCCTGACATCTTACATTAAAATTAACTCCAGATGGATTAAAGACTTAAACATAAGACCTAACACCATAAAAACCCTAGAAGAAAACCTTGGCAAAACCATTCAGGACATAGGCATAGGCAAGGACTTCATAACTAAAACACCAAAAGCATTGGCAACAAAAGCCAAAATAGACAAATGGAATCTAATTAAACTCCAGAGCTTCTGCAGAGCAAAAGAATCAATTAAAGTGAACTGGCAACCAATATAATGGGAAAAAATTTTTGCAATATACGCATCTGACAAAGGGCTAACATCCAGAATCTACAAAGAACTAAAACAGATTTACAAGGAAAAAAAAAAAACATCCAAAAGTGGGCCAAGGACATGAACAGACACTTTTCAAAACAAGACATATGAGTCCAACAAACATATGAAAAAATGCTCATCATCACTGGTCATTAGAGGAATGCAAATCAAAACCACATTGAGATACCATCTCATGCCAATTAGAATGTCGATCCTTTAAAAATCTGGAGACAACAGATGCTGGAGAGGATGTGGAGAAATAGGAACCCTTTTACACTGTTGGTGGGAGTGTAAATTAGTTCAACCATTGTAAAAGACAGTGTGGTGATTCCTCAAGGACCTAGAAACAGAAATTCCATTTGACCCAGCAATCCCATTACTGGGTATATATCCAAAGGATTATAAATCATTCTATTATAAAGACACATGCACATGTATGTTCATTGCAGCACTGTTTACAATAGCTAAGACCTGGAACCAACCAAAATGCCCATCAATGATAGACCGGCCAAGGAAAATGTGGCACATATACACCATGAAATACTATGCAGCCATAAAAAACAATGAGTTTGTTTCCTTTGTAGGGACATGGATGAATCTGGAAACCATCATTCTCAGGAAACTGACACAAGAACAGAAAACACACCACATGTTCTCACTCATAGGCGGGTGTTGAATAATGAGAACACATGGACACAGGGAGGGGAGCATCATACACTGGGGTCTGTTGCCAGGAAGTAGGGGAGGGACAGCAGGGGTAGGGAGGTAGGGAAGGGATAACAGGGATAAATGTCAGATATAGGTGATGGGGGGATGGAGGTAGCAAACCACATTGCCATGTATGTACCTATCCATAAGTCCTGCATGTTTTGCACATGTATGCCATAACCTAAAGTATAATAAAATGTATATAAAAATAATTTAACTTCCTTATCTGTAAACAGAGGATTATAATTACCTCTCAGAATTGTGATAACAACCAAATGAGATGATCATGTAACATGGTTAACCAATAGTAAGTGTTCAGGAAGTTGCAGTATGTTGTTAGCATTATTCCTGGAAATTTTATGTTCTCCTTAAAACACAGGAGGGAATGGAGGTTAAAATAACAGGTAAAAGGATATTAGGACTTTGTTTTAAAAATACAGGAGAAACTTTCTTCAGTGTCAAAGATTTTACATGATTAATTTGAAAAGAACCACTAGTATTTAATGAATAAAAGAAAGAAGATATATGTCCCAATTTGTTCTGAACAATAAATTATAAACTTTCATTGATTACAGTAACTATCAACATTAGTTGCTTTAGGACATTCAGAAAGATTGAAGAGTACAAGTCAATAATGTTGAAACAATATGAAATGTAGATTGCTAAAACTGAATGCCAGAGATATATCCTGCCCAGACCTTAAAGCAAGATTAACGCAAGAGAGAACAGGGGTATATATTTGACTTTTTCACAAATTTAAAAAACAGTATAATATATATGGAAGCAAAAATGAAAAATAAGGGTAGCATTTGGAAAATCTAAAGAGATATCCTGTATTTATAAATAATAATATGAATTTATTCATTCAACAGATATGCATTTTGTTACTTATGTGCTAGACACTGACCTCAGGGTTGGGGATAAAAGAGCTTACAAAACAAGATACTTTACTTTTGTGGAACTTGTAGTCTAATGATTGGCTATGTGGAAATATAATCATTACTGATGAACATTCTATAAATTTTGTGGTTATTTCCTTAGTAATGATCATAGAATCTTAATTCTAAATGGAAAGACAGCACTCCTCTGCCCTTCACCTTTTCTACTCTCTTCCTGTGCTGAAAGCTGCATGTATAAGCACCCTGATGTATGTGTGAGCACTGCCTTATTATACTATCAGTAAAGCGCTGTAAATTCACTTCCCACCACACCATATAGTGTGAGACTCCAGCGTATTCTGTGACTGTGTTCTGAGAAATTCTAAGCCAAGCTAATTTAAATAGGAGAAAATATTGAATCTTGATAGACTTAAGTGAAATACATGTTGCATCAGATGAAATTCATAGGCCATCTAATTTTGTGGTTTCAGATCCAGACCTCTCTGATATGAATAATAATGAGCCTTATGACTATAAATTTGTGAAATGGATGACTAAACATAAGGTAATGTTTATTGTCCTTTGCAAGATTGTATTGTATTTTACAGTTAATTTATGAAGAAACCTGCTGTTATGCTTTGAAATCGATCAAATGTAGTGTTATATGATACTCCACTTGTGACTTTTAAAAGCATTTTTCTTTCTGGAAATTATTGTGACTATTTAAAAGTATCTAGTTGCCGCTAATATCTGTAGTCCTAAAATTAATATTTGAAGTGTTCCTAGTTTTCTTATATTTTTCTATTTATTTTTCAGAAACTATCAGCCATCCCTGTTTCAGCATTCTGTAACTCAGAGACTAAATCACACTTTGAGAAGTTTGTGCGATTTTGCTTCATTAAAGTAAGTCCTCTGTTCTATTGAAAACACATTTATTATCCTCATTTCAATTTTTAAAGCACTATTTTCTTCTATTTCTAAAAATGATATGATCATACGCAGTTTTTAAATTTTGGCTTACAGCTGTAAAATTAACTGCTTACCAAAACAAAATTCCACCCTTTTTGAAGGAAGACAGCATAATACAGACCCCTTACCATGTCATATGACAATTTCCAGCATACAGTAAAAAATTACTAGACATAGGAAAACACAAGAAAATAGGACCTGTAGTAAAGAAAAAAAGAAGTTAATAGAAATAGGCTTAAAGGTGACTCAGATCTAGAAATTAGCAGACAAGGACTTTAAAGCAAATATTTTAAGCATGTTTAAAAAATTAGAAGAAAACATGGTTATAATAAGTGAACAGAGAGATTCTAACTATTTATAAAAAAAAAAAAAAGGAACCAAATGGAAATTCTAAAACTTAAATGTATAATATCTGCTATAAGATACTTATGGGATTTAACAGAGTATTGAAGATGTCAGAAAAATAAAAGAGGTTAACTTGATTACAGATCTATAGAAATTATTCAATCTGAAAAAAAGAGAAATATTTTTAAAAAGTGAACACAGCCTTAGCTTTATGAGACAATACCAAGTGACAATTATATGCATCATTGGAGAACCAAGAACAAAAGAAACACTATGAGAGAAAACATATTTTAAGGAGTAATAGTCAAAATGTTCCCAAATTTGGTGAAAAGCAACTTATGTCTAAAACGGTCAGTGAAATACAACAGGATAAATTTTTTTTTTTTTTTTTTTTTTGAGACAGAGTTTCGCTCTTGTTACCCAGGCTGGAGTGCAATGGCACGATCTTGGCTCACCGCAACCTCCGCCTCCTGGGTTCAGGCAGTTCTCCTGCCTCAGCCTCCCAAGTAGCTGGGATTACAGTCATGCGCCACCATGCCCAGCTAATTTTTTGTATTCTTAGTAGAGACAGGGTTTCACCATGTTCACCAGGATGGTCTCGATCTCTTGACCTCGTGATCCACCCCCCTCAGCCTCCCAAAGTGCTGGGATTACAGGTGTGAGCCACTGTGCCCAGCAACAGGATAAATATTTTAAAAGCACAACTAGGCAATCATAAAATGCTAAAAACAAAAGGTAAAGGTAAGATACTAAAAGCAGCCAGAGGTCAGGTGTAGTGGCTCATGTCTATAATCCTAACACATTGATAAACTAAGGCAGAAGGACTGCTTGAGTCCAGAAGTTCAAGACCATCCTATGAAACATAATGAGATCCTATCTCTATAAAAAAATTTTAATTAGCCAGGCTTGCTGGCACATGCTTGTGGTACTCTCTTCTCAGGAATTTATGGTACAAGTGAGACCAGGTTCCAGGGTGCGAGGCAGGCTCAGCTTGCTCCCAAATAGGATGGTGTTCTTCCAGGCTCTTTGTCCCTCATTCACCCAAGAATGGGAGGGAGGACTCCACCGGGCACAGTAGCTCATTTAAGGAAATATCATACCCCAAAGAGTTTTGCAGAAAGTGATTTATTTAGGCAGAGAGCGGGAGAAAAAGGAGAAAGAAAAGCAACTTCCACAATGTCGTGGAAGGGAACTCCAGATTTGGAGTCCACGCAGATGAGGGAGAAGGGGACTTTTAACGTGGGAGAAATTCCTGCCTCATTCAAATTTTCTGTCCTATGAAAGGAATTCCTTTAAACTTCCGCTGGAGTAACTGACCTTTGATTTTTTTCCCATGTGTGTGAAAGTTAAAGACCTCTAAGATCCCGGGTGGAGATGTGGGTGGGGGTATGGCGCTGTGAAGTTCTTGCCTTTGAAACTACGCCCCCTTGGGGAGCCGGGAAGAGTATACATTCCCTTAGTCTCCCCTCTGAACAGGAAAGCCCAACTGCTGTTGGGACACAGGGGGTTGATTGCTCTTTAGCTACTTACTGCTGAAATGGGGCATAGAAGGGGCCCCGCAGTTGAGGTTTCCTCCAGAAGGGAGCATTTCAGGGGTGCAGGCTGATCCTGAGGTCCACGATAGAGCTCATAAGTCAAGGACATCCAGGGTTCCAGTTGCAGGATTATTTATGACCTTATGGTTCTAGAAGAAACGAATGTGGTAAGAAGGTTAAAGATTAAAAAACCCAGAGGCCAACAAATATAGAATGGTTCTAAACAGGACTAGGAGAGGATAGAGCCAGGACAGCCATCCACAATACTATTTCTTGAAGGTCTTTAGCCCTGTGTTCCATTGATTCCTGAGTTCTTTCTTTGTTCAAAACAACACTTAATTGGTTTACAAAGTAGCAGCATTTCTTCATAGAAAGAGACAGGCTCCCTCTCTCTGTTGTTAGCAGATTTAGGGCCCTTTTACTTTGAAGAGCTATGGCAGCCAAAGAGTTAAGCTGTTTTGCAGTGAGCTGCCTTTGCAGAGAGAATTAGCAACCTTTTTGTTATTAATTAACTCTTGAGATACCTTAGAGTAACTGAATAGAGGTAGCAACTTTTCTAATGCCAGCACCAAGTTTTCCACTATGAAAGAACAATTGGAGTTTGAGAGATAGCAAAGTTAAGAGTTATAGTCCTGTTAATTCCAGGATGTAAATTAGATTCATGAGTCATTACTTTCCTGGGGATTTTGTCTTAAGAGCAGATGTAGAGCCTCTAACAGCTCACAGGTGTACCAAGGGTCATCTCCTGGAACTTCAGGCTGCAGAGTGGAGGCCTATGATTTTCTTCAGAAGGTGTCCAAGGCTCAGCCCAGTGTGATGAATCCATGAGTCAATTCCCACCACCTTAACTGCCATTGGGGTAGACAGAGTAACTGAAAATGGTCCTTCCCAAGATGGGCCTAGAGAGGGAGTCTGAGGGGAGAGACTTAACAAGCACCAAGTCTCCAGGGCAGAACAACTCTTTCCCTTGTTTCCCTAGGGTGTCCTTCAGGTAAAGTTTTAAGAGCCTGTTGGGACTTAGCCAAGGAGGTTATATCTTTTATTAGATCTGCTGTTTCCTTGTCTACTACAAGACAATTAGTAAGAATGGGCCGTCCATAAACCATTTCCTAGGGGCTGAGAGAAATACTGGGAGACTGTTCATCTAGGACTTCTTGGACAGTTACAGACTTGGAGGAAAGCTGTTCAGGACAGAGGAGTAATACTGAGAAGGCTGTGCCAGTGTCCAAGAGGAGATTAACTTCCTGGCCCTCTATGGTCAGCTTTGCCTGGAGTACCGTGAGGGTTATGGCTTATGCTGAAACTTGCCCCGGCACCCTTACTCCTGCAGTTGGGTCATCCAGTTAGACACCTCAGGCCCTGAGAACCTTCGTCCCCAGGGACAGTGTGCTTTCCAGTGATCCCCTTGGCACAGCAGACAAGGACAAGGTGGTCCATTCCTCTAGGGACAATTTCATATAAAATATTTCTTCAGATGGCACTGGTAGCAAGCTCTGCCAGACTGGTGGCTAACCTGAGCCTTTCCCTCATTTGAGCCCCTTGGGTCTGCCTGCCTGAAGGCCATGACTAAGGCTGCGGCTTTTCTCTGGTCTCTCCAGTTCCTTTCAGCCTGTTCCACCTGTTCCCAGGTTTAGTTATGATTCTAGACTCTGTTCTGGCCCCAAGGTCAGCTTCTGGAGCTTCATCCTAATATCTGCTGCTGACCGCGTAATAAACTTGTCCTTTAGTATTAACTGACCTTCACTGGAGTCTGGTGACAGGGGAGAATACTTTCTTAAGGCCTCCCACAATCGCTTAAGGAAAGCCATTGGGTATTCTTCCTTTCCCTGAGTCATGGGGGATAACATTGCATGTTCATGGGCTTCTTCCTAGTTCGCCTTAATCCCTCAAGTATGAAGGTTAAGAAATGCCTCCAGCTCCAGTCCCCCTGTTCTGAATCAGAATCCCAGCAAGGGTCTATGCTAGAGACTGCCTGTCTACCTATAGGAAATCTATCCTTTTCCCCTGGTTATCATTAAGTCATGTACTTGACTAAGGTACCAGGTGTCCCCAAACTCTTGAGCTGCTGCTAGAGCAGCCTCTCTCTCATTGCTGGTTAGAGTTTGATTAAGCAATAGTATGGTATGTTTCCAGTCTAATTTGAAGGACTGACCCAGGCCCTGCAGAATATCTATGTACTTGTCCAGGTCATCTGAAAACTTTCCGAAGTCCACCTCAATTTGCTTTAAGTCAGAAAGTCAGAAGGGGGTGTGTACCTTGGTCAGGCCAAATTCTCTTCCTACTGCCTGTAGTGGGCAGAGTCTGGGCATCCTAGTAGCCTGACATACCTTGGCCGTCTCGGCCCTCCCTGGCTCCTGTTGGGGTACAGGGGCTGAGGAGCCCTGTTTGGCATTGGTGGAAGTAGTAGCCACAGGGAGTCCCAAATGTGGAGGTAGTCCTGAGGAGGGCTGAGTAGTGTATGGGGAACAGGCCTGTCAGAGCTGAGGCTTATTCCTTAGAGAAAATAAAAGTTGTACATAGGGGACCTCAAACCATTTACCCTTGCTTTTACAAAACAGGTCTAATTGTAGAATAGTATCATAATCTATACTTCCCTTAGGAGGCCAGGTTTTTCCACTCGGCTGAGGGTATTTCAGCCACACTGTCCAGCAGAGAAAACTGAGCCACTTCTTTAAAGATTGTCAAATTGATCTCAATTCTCCAGGATACATTTTAATGGTGACTTTATTTTGGGAATAGTAGCACCCATCTGAAACCGAACACAAGGGATGCCTGCATCCCCGATTGTTAATTGCAGTTGTGCAATCTGAGGCATCCCTCAGACAGGGCGCTGGATCTGGGACATCCCCCAACCAGTACCTCATAATAACCATATGCCCAAGATGTGTGGTCTTCTTTGGGCCACCCATGTGCTCGGCTTAATCATGATACCAGCGCCATGGGTACTCACGCTCACTGTCTGCATGCCTTTAGTGACCACCATAAAGACATGTGGGCTGCTGGGATGGGTGGTTCATGCCAGCACGTCCCTGAACCAGGCCAGTAAGTCTAGGG